TATTTTTGGGAAGGTTTCCCCAGTCTCTATGTCCTGTATGGAGTCACCTTGTAAGAGATCAGATACAGAGAGATATGTATTTACATTCCGTGTGTGACTGACTTCCTCCCCACCTGCAAACACATTCAAACGACAGACCAAGGTCACATGATCCAGTAATTGTTCTTTTTTAGGGTAAAGGGGAACACAGGAACAGGAAATGACACCTGAGAAGCAACGAGTATTCCAGAGAACAGATCATGTGACCTGAACTGATCACAATACAGTACTAGAGCTTGGTCGGCCTTCACAGAGAGCAAGCAGAGCATTTCCGGGGCCACGCAGGAAGGTGAAGATCAATCCAAGGAATAGAGAACGATGCTGGCCACACACGGTTGGATTTCTCTCATTCACTCATTATCCACAAGGAACAGCTCCCTTGCTGGCTACGGTATTCAAACAGCCAGCTTCTGCAGCAGTCAGAGTCCCTGAACAATGACTGCATCTGATTTGAGGAGTCGCTGTTAAGCCAACACTCCCCCTTCCCCCCCCCTACAGCTCATTGGTGGCTCTGCGGGTTTAGATTTTATGGGGTGCGGTGCTGTATCGGGGGTTTCGAAGAGTCCGTCCACCAACACATGAAGTTCTAGCCCGGGTCTGGTGGGCTGCCTTTGGCTTCTTCTAGCTCTGGAGGACCTCATGAAGATTCGGGTTGGGTAGTATTAGTCCTGACATTTTGAGCTGTTTTGAGTTACTGGGAATTGTAGAACTTAAAGTGCACATGTGCCATATCTAACCCCCCCTCCCAACCCCCTAAATAAAAACCTTAACTTTGGAAGCTGTGCCCAAAAAAACACAGGCAGGGGGCTAATGACTAGTCACTGGCCTTGCCCGGTGTCTCCCTACAGCTGACCTTCTCCCATTGCTGACTTGCCCTGCCTTGTTCTGCACTGGCGGAGGCCATCCTGGTAGAGGCAGGGCTTCGCTTCCTCATATCAGAGCCTCCAGCCAGGAGAACAGTGAGAAGCACAGACATGACATCGCCAATTCTCACAGGACTAGCAGTCAGAGGTAGCAGTGCCTTAGGTCTCAGGCTGAAAAGAGGGCTATGAGGCCATAGGCGCCCTCACCGGGAACTCGCAACAAAAGGTCAAATTTTAAGGGCACTGCTTAGAAACCATTCCCTAGAACACGGCAAACCTTCACTTTTTGAGATCAGGTCCATGGCAAAGGTATGAATTCAGTAGTAAGAGTGCTTGCTCTCCGTGGTCAATTGTTGGGCTGTCAGGCACCCATGGCAGCTCCAACACAGTCAGCAGGTATCCTCCCAATCTCATACAGCAGAGGAAGATGTTTCATCCATATGAAACACTTTCCGCACACTGAGCATGTAGTGGGTGCTTCACAGTGTGTCTTTTTTGGTGTGCAAGAAGGTATCCCTTACTGGCAAAGCTTTTCCCGCACTCCGGACAGGAAAAAGGGCGCTCGCCTGTGTGGGTTCTCTGGTGCGTAAGGAAGTGTCCTTTTTCAGTGTAGCTCTTTCCACACAACGAACAGGAAAAAGGCCTCACGTTTGTGTGAGCTTTCTGGTGTTTAAGTAGGTGACCCCTCCGGGTGAAACACTTCTCGCACTCCGAGCATGCAAAAGGACGTTCGCCCGTGTGGTTCCTCTGGTGTAGGAGCAGGTATGCTTTGTCAATGAAACATTTACCACACTCGGGACAGGAAAAGGGACGCTCGCCTTTGTGACGCATCTCGTGTCTGAGGAGGTTGACCTTCTGGGTGAAGCTTCTCCCGCACTCGGAACACGAAAAAGGACGCTCGCCCGTGTGGGTTCTCTGGTGCGTAACGAGGTGTCCGTTGGAACTGAAACACTTCCCGCACTCTGAACATGAAAAGGGCATTTCACCAGCGTGCCGTTTCAAATGGGTAATGAAGTTCTCCTTCTGTGAGAAACATTTCCCGCACTGGGAACAGGAAAAGGGCTTCTCGCCGGTGTGGACTCTCTGGTGTTTGACAAGACCCGATACCGTCGTGAAGGACATCTCGCACTCGGAACACGGAAAAGGCTTTTCGTTGGCATGGTATTTCTGGTGCCTGACGAGATGCGATTTGGTGGCAAAGGATTTCCCGCACTCGTCGCAGGGGAAGGGCTTCTCTCCGCTGTGAGATCTCTGGTGCGCCACGAACTGGGACTTCTCCATAAATGACTTCTTGCACTGGGGACACGAGAACGGCTTCTCCCTGGTGTGATACTTCTGGTGTTTCTTGAGCTGCGACTTTGCCGTGAAGGATTTATCGCACTCCGTGCACGAGAAGATCTCCTCGCCGGTGTGAGTCCTCTGATGTACACGCAGCTCGCATTTTGTCTTCAAAGATTTCCCGCACTCCGAGCAGCGATAGGGCCACCCCCGGTTGTGGTGCGCGACCTGTGCTGAGCGACGTGGAGAAGCGTTCTTACCTTCTGGGAGTGGCCCCTCGTGGGCGTGCGTCCTCTGATGGACAACAAGGTGTGACCTCTTCCTAAAACACTTCTCAGAACATGGAAAGGGATCGTTGTCTCCCGGTAGACCAGCATCTGGATCATCGGAAGAAGATTCCTCAACATTCATGGGATCCGGTGATCTATCGGCACTGTGAGATCTTAGATGGATATTGGGGGTAGTAGTACGTGACCTTTCAGGAGATTCCTGGGGTGCTGATGATCTATCTTCCCTGGAGGGTCTGTGATGACTTGCAGCGGTGGAGTCTACTCTTGGAGAACGTTCCGAGACGCCATTATCTTCCGATTTATAACCTAGAGAGAACGTTACATTTCCTGGTGAGTTATTCAGAACATCAACATCGTCATCAGTTGGAAAGAAACTCTTTATTATTATTCAAAGTACATTAAAGGAGAACTATGGGGTCAGGGCTTTTCCCCATAGTTCTCCTAAGGGTCACGGGAGGACACATACTAACCCCCTCCCCTCACCCAAAGCTCAGTATATAGGGAGCTACAGCTTTGCTGTCATTGTTGTGGGGAGGAAGCTGAGCTGTTTATGTCTTACCCGGGTAAAGATCTGAAGAAGATTCCTCCTCTTTACATGTCCCAAACTCCTCCATAGACTGCTGATCTCCACCGACATACGTCCCCTCACCTTCTTCTTTGATCTCAACCTTCACGTCAGTCAGTTTATCCTAAAACAAGAGAATGAAGTGAAATCATTATTTTTTTACATTTGGAGATTAGTGAATTAAGACCACATAGCTGAAGATGATCCTTTAAGACTTTGGAGTACCAAGACCCCCCCCAATAACAGATACCTGATGGTGGTGTAGGATGTTCTGATGTTCCTGTGTGGAATCCTGGGAGTGCAGAGGACAGGTCTGAGGGACCTCATGATGTTCCTCCATGGAATCCCGGGAATACAGAGGACGGGCCTGAGGGATCTCCTGATGTTCCTGTGTGGAATCCCGGGAATACAGAGGACGGGCCTGAGGGATCTCATGATGTTCCTCCATGGAATCCCGGGAATACAGAGGAAGGGCCTGAGGGATCTCATGATGTTCCTCCATGGAATCCTGGGAGTACAGATGAAGGGCCTGAGGGATCTCCTGATGTTCCTGTGTGGAATCCCGGGAATACAGAGGACGGGCCTGAGGGATCTCATGATGTTCCTCCATGGAATCCCGGGAATACAGAGGAAGGGCCTGAGGGATCTCATGATGTTCCTCCATGGAATCCCGGGAATACAGAGGACGGGGACATCTCTCTGGTGGGTTCCTCTTACTGGATCCATCTGTAGGAAACACACACAGTGACTGAATACATTGTTTCTATGTGTGTATCAGATGATGGGGGATCTAGGTGGACCCTCCGTACTGCTCTCTCCTCTTACCCGGTGATGTGAGGGGCGGCCGGTTCTCCATCATGACGTCCTTGTAGAGATCCCGGTGTCCTTCTAGATACTCCCACTCCTCCATGGAGAAGTAGACAGAGACATCCTGACACCTTATAGGAACCTGACACACACAATGATACAGTCACCATCCAGACACATCCCTTGTCTGTTCCTGGACCATGTCCCAGAATTCCCGGCACCGCTCACCTCTCCAGCTCAGTATATAGGGAGCTACAGCTTTGCTGTCATTGTTGTGGGGAGGAAGCTGAGCTGTTTATGTCTTACCCGGGTAAAGATCTGAAGAAGATTCCTCCTCTTTACATGTCCCAAACTCCTCCATAGACTGCTGATCTCCACCGACATACGTCCCCTCACCTTCTTCTTTGATCTCAACCTTCACGTCAGTCAGTTTATCCTAAAACAAGAGAATGAAGTGAAATCATTATTTTTTTACATTTGGAGATTAGTGAATTAAGACCACATAGCTGAAGATGATCCTTTAAGACTTTGGAGTACCAAGACCCCCCCCAATAACAGATACCTGATGGTGGTGTAGGATGTTCTGATGTTCCTGTGTGGAATCCTGGGAGTGCAGAGGACAGGTCTGAGGGACCTCATGATGTTCCTCCATGGAATCCCGGGAATACAGAGGACGGGCCTGAGGGATCTCCTGATGTTCCTGTGTGGAATCCCGGGAATACAGAGGACGGGCCTGAGGGATCTCATGATGTTCCTCCATGGAATCCCGGGAATACAGAGGAAGGGCCTGAGGGATCTCATGATGTTCCTCCATGGAATCCTGGGAGTACAGATGAAGGGCCTGAGGGATCTCCTGATGTTCCTGTGTGGAATCCCGGGAATACAGAGGACGGGCCTGAGGGATCTCATGATGTTCCTCCATGGAATCCCGGGAATACAGAGGAAGGGCCTGAGGGATCTCATGATGTTCCTCCATGGAATCCCGGGAATACAGAGGACGGGGACATCTCTCTGGTGGGTTCCTCTTACTGGATCCATCTGTAGGAAACACACACAGTGACTGAATACATTGTTTCTATGTGTGTATCAGATGATGGGGGATCTAGGTGGACCCTCCGTACTGCTCTCTCCTCTTACCCGGTGATGTGAGGGGCGGCCGGTTCTCCATCATGACGTCCTTGTAGAGATCCCGGTGTCCTTCTAGATACTCCCACTCCTCCATGGAGAAGTAGACAGAGACATCCTGACACCTTATAGGAACCTGACACACACAATGATACAGTCACCATCCAGACACATCCCTTGTCTGTTCCTGGACCATGTCCCAGAATTCCCGGCACCGCTCACCTCTCCCGTCAGCAGCTCAATCATCTTCTGGGTGACTTCGAGGATCTTCTTAGAATTGGAGTGTGGTGAAAGTAGGATAATGGGACTTTGACTGTCACACCATTGTGGGGACAGACTGTGACTTGTCCTCTCTGTGCAATGCATAGACGACGTCTTCTTCACTACCGCACACTCCTGTATAATAAAGCAATTAGAAGACTACTTTACCTCTCCCATCATAAAGTGTTTTATGTAGTAAAAGAAATTATGTAATCTTAAAATCCAAGAATTGTCCTCACCTCTCCAGTCAGCAGGTAGATGACCTCCAGGGCGAGCTTCAGTATTATCTCATTTACATGACATATCTTTTCTCCGGCGTGTACGTGACTGACGAGCGGCCGGTCCTCCATCACGACGTCCTTGTAGAGATCCCGGTGTCCTTCTAGATACTCCCACTCCTCCATGGAGAGATAGACAGAGACATCCTGACACCTTATAGGAACCTGACACAATGATACAGTCACCATCCAGACACATCCCTTGTCTGTTCCTGGATCATGTCCCAGAATCCCCGGCACCGCTCACCTCTCCTGTCAGCAGCTCAATGATCTTCTGGGTGACTTCTAGAATCTTCTTGCTGATAGGTGTCTTGGCTTTCAAGGAGGGAGGTGGAGGCACTGAAGTAGGGAAAGGCTCTTGCAGACAGATGATGGTTTTTAATTGCTCACTGGACGGCTTATTCTCTACCTCATAATCCTGTGTTATAATAGATGGCAACAATTATCACTGTACATCCTCCCAGAATCCTCCTCACCTCTCCGGTCAGGTCTGTGTTTTATGAATAGAGATAAGAGTGATGTCATGTGACCTCCCAGAATCCTCCTCACCTCTCCAGTCAGCAGGTAGAGGATCTCCAGGGTGAGCCGTAATATCTTTTCAGTATTGCAATGGTCCTTGTCCATCCTCATTGATGATGTGGCCATGTCATCTGCAGCATACAGAACATTTGTCTTTGTAGATCACAGGACCCGTTTGTTAATGTATCCGGTCTATAAATGGCGGCTCTGGATGGACAGTTGAATAAATGGTTCTAAATTTAGGATGTATCCGGTCTATAAATGGCGGCTCTGGGTGGACAGTTGGATAAATGGTTCTATATTTAGGATGTATCTGGTCTATAAATGGCGGCTCTGGGTGGACAGTTGGATAAATGGTTCTATATTTAGGATGTATCTGGTCTATAAATGGCGGCTCTGGGTGGACAGTTGGATAAATGGTTCTATATTTAGGATGTATCTGGTCTATAAATGGCGGCTCTGGGTGGACAGTTGGATAAATGGTTCTATATTTAGGATGTATCTGGTCTATAAATGGCGGCTCTGGGTGGACAGTTGGATAAATGGTTCTATATTTAGGATGTATCTGGTCTATAAATGGCGGCTCTGGGTGGACAGTTGGATAAATGGTTCTATATTTAGGATGTATCTGGTCTATAAATGGCGGCTCTGGGTGGACAGTTGGATAAATGGCTCTATATTTAGGATGTATCCGGTCTATAAATGGATTACCGGGTGTAAATATAAAATATTGTATTACCTCCTCTGTTGCCAGTTCCAGCAATGTCTCCTCTCTACTCCCTCCCAACTCCACCTCTCACCCGGAACTTCTTATTTATAAGTGACATCACTTCCTGTTTTTGCGTTCCACTCAATATGAGTGAGTTTGCCATCTTGTGGAACGTGTCAGAACTACAGCCTTCATTTTTTGTTGTTGTAGTTTACATACTGTGGGAAAGAGGTAAAAGATTTGGCAGGTTTTGAACCCTGTCTGTGATGCCACGGGCATTGGGCTCCTGCCGTGGTAATTAGGTGGACTATATGCACCTTAGCTGCCCGGTTAGAGAGAAGCGTCTCATTAACCATCATGGTAAAAGTGAATAAGAAACTCAATCTTTTAAAGATCTGCTGTTCAATTAAACCCCCTCTCCTGCTGAATCATATGGTCCCATTAAGCCCGGCCCTGGATTTTGGTGTTAGGATGGCTCCTTACGCTTGGAGGCACTACTGGAGCCACCCTTGTGTGCATGCTCCCGGCATCGGACTACAGAGTGGCATGCTTTGCTGGCTGCACAAAATGAGAAACCCCAAGGACAGGTCTCTGCTCCACCTTATCAGTAGTACTTTGAAAAAGCCCAAGACCCTCAACCTCCTCATCCCAAGCTCAGGTGATGAAGTGCTCAGCTACTGTTGAGCAAGCTGCAGTAGTTTGTGTGAGATCTGAGCTATTATCCCAACCCATCGCCGAGGAGTTCGCCCAGTGGCGTGGGCTGGAGAAGGTGGCACATACTTTTGAAAACACGTCTAGTACGTTATGGGATTTTGTTCTGGATACCTCTTCGCTTGACTTCTACCGAGGGGAGAAGTGTGCTGGGAGACTCCCTACGTCGGAGAGCTGCCAAGAGCATTTAAAGGAAACCGAGTCTGCTGCAACCATGAGGAAAGCTACCAAGGGCATGTAAAGGAACTGCTCCAACCAGGAGGGGGGCAGCTACCCACATAGGTGAAGCAGTGCTGACCTGGCTGTATGGCAGAAGACAACACTAGAACCTTCTCGGCTGATCTGTAACTGCAGAATACATAGTCATGCAAAGGTAGAACTTAAATCCAGGAGGAGCTTGCTCAGGAAGAGCTTGTCCTACCACCCTAGGTGTGAATGCGGCCTACCCAGAGAGTTTGTCGCACCTGTTAAAGCTACAGAAGCTGAAGAGAAGTTAGTATTCTGCGTTCCTCACCCTCTCTCACATGATCGTTCAACAAATAAAACCTTTAAAACCTAAAATTATGCCGATCTTCTGGTACGTACCCAAAGCCAAGGAACATCACTGTAAGAGGACTGGGGGCATTCATAGTGTACACCTTCTAAGCCACTGGAGGGAATAGGAATACTTGTCTATTTGGAAGGGACTTTTTTTTGCCACCTTGCCTTCGATGGAACCAGAAGGAAGGGAGACCAGGTAATAGCTGCAACAAGCCTGCAGACCCGAGAACTCAACGAAGGGAGAACCGGACATCTAAAACCACGTTAGGTGGTTTAACTCTACAACATCAAACGCCAAAATGATCCTTTTGAATGGAGCGATCATTCATTGATTGTCATTAGAAAGTCAAACAGAGGACACATATGATAAAGTAACCGCTTTTATTGGGGTAACGGAACCAAAGCATCGAAAATGTCCAATCAGCTGATTTGTTGAAGAAACCGAGAAGCAACGAGCACTCCAGAGAGCACATCTTGTAACAGGAACCGCAAAGAAGCACAATATGGCTTTGCGAGGTCTTCTCAAAGTGTTCTTGTGAAGCAGAACTTCTCTGGGGTCTAATAGGCAGACCAGTGAAGATCGAACCAGTGAATGGAAGGTCACCTATAGCGCTGCAGAGGGTCCACTGAAGTTCTGTTGGCATTGTGGGACAGTAAGGGTGTGATTTGGGCTGCTTTGGTCAAGGGGTGGAGAAACGGCACATTTGAGTCCAACCAGATGTGAAGCTATAGGTGGAGTATGATGGGCTTTAGATACTGTGGCTCCCCAGAAGGCATGTTTTTATAGTATCATTTGGACTTACTGTGTATACATTTTATATGTTGGTTTTGTCTAGTAAATTTATAGATCAGCTTTAAATTCCAGTGTTTAGGGACAGTCAAGACTAATCATTTTGTGTGAGTGTTCCTCAGAGGATTGAGAGTTCCTCAGAGGAGGAGTTTAGATTGAGAGCTCCTTAGGGGAGGAGAGTTTGGTTTGAGAGTTCCTCAGGGGAAAAGAATTTGCTTTGAGAGTTCCTCAGGGGAGAAGAGTTTGGATTGAGTTCCTCAGGGGAAAGGAGTTTGGACTGAGAGTTCCTCAAGTGAGGAGAGTTTGGATTGAGAGATCCTGAGGGAAGGAGAGTTTGGATTGAGAGAGCCTCAGGGAAGGAGAGTTTGTATTGAGAGTTCCTCAGGCGAGGAGTTTGGATAGAGAGATCCTCAGGCGAGGGGAGTTTGGATTGAGAGATCCTCAGGCGAGGAGAGTTTGGATTGAGAGATCCTCAGGAGAGGAGAGTTTGGTTTGAGAGTTCCTCAGGCGAGGAGAGTTTGGATTGAGAGATCCTCAGGGAAGGAGAGTTTGGATTGAAAGTTCCTCAGGAGAGGAGAGTTTGGTTTGAGAGATCCTCAGGCGAGGAGAGTTTGGATTGAGAGATCCTCAGGGAAGGAGAGATTGGATTGAGAGTTCCTCATGTGAGGAGAGTTTGGATTGAGAGATCCTCAGGGAAGGAGAGTTTTGGATTAAGAGATCCTCAGGTGAGGAGAGTTTGGATAGAGAGATCCTCAGGGAAGGAGAGTTTGGATTAAGAGATCCTCAGGTGAGGAGAGCTTGGATAGAGAGATCCTCAGGCGGGGAGAGTTTGGATAGATAGATCCTCAGGCGAGGAGAGTTTGGATTGAGAGATCCTCAGGCGAGGAGAGTTTGGATTGAGAGTTCCTCAGGCGAGGAGAGTTTGGATTAAGAGATCCTCAGGTGTTGAGAGATTGGATTGAGAGTTCCTCATGGAATCAGAGTTTGGATTGAGAGATCCTCAGGCGAGGAGAGTTTGGTTTGAGAGTTCCTCAGGCGAGGAGAGTTTGGATTGAGAGTTCCTCAGGGAAGGAGAGTTTGGATAGAGAGATCCTAAGGGGAGGAGAGTTTGTATTGAGAGATCCTCAGGGAAGGAGAGTTTGGATTGAGAGATGGATTGAGAGATCCTCAGGGAAGGAGAGTTTGGATTGAGAGATCCTCAGGGAAGGAGAGTTTGGATTGAGAGATCCTCAGGGAAGGAGAGTTTGGATTGAGAGATCCTCAGGGAAGGAGAGTTTGGATTGAGAGATCCTCAGGGAAGGAGAGTTTGGTTTGAGAGATCCTCAGGCGAGGAGAGTTTGGTTTGAGAGTTCCTCTGGGGAAACTGCAATTGGAGTTGTGGGTGCAACGCCTTGTGGAGATACCAAACATTTCTGCCCCACTAAAGCCATCTGGGTAGCCAAGGAACCGAGGACACCATGTGCCTTGTATGCCCCAGTGTCCTTTGAGCTGTAAAGGGTCTATATCTAATGAATTTAGGAAGATGGAGTCTGCATATCGAACAATGTTTCGGCGGAATTACAATATAAGCCTAACATGTGTGAGATGGTCCAGTGAGAACATACACATCTAAATAATATGATCATTCATGAATGTTGCCCACGACGATAGAGATATGTTACTTTTTTTTTTAACGTTCTTCCTAATTTCCTTTCTTATGTCCAGATTCCTTCCATTTGATAATATTATTGAGACAACGTGGTCAAAAGTATCTTCACCTATGTCTGCCCTCCATCCATTTATAATGGCAATGGCATGGCTTAGTACACCTGTGCTCTCGGTGTTGTCTGGTTGGACAATATGCCTTGTGTTTTTCTTCTCAAGAGATGTTCCGACACTTTAAAAGTTACACAGCTGTGCTATGGAGAAAACAAGGCAGTCACCGTATGTTTGTATTTGGGTCTGAAAATGAAAAAGAAGGCTCACTCAGGTGACTTTGCTGGTGTGCAAGAAGATATTTCATCCTCATGAAACACTTTCCGCACTCCGAACATGAAAAGGGACGCTTGACAGCATGTCTCCTCTGGTGTACAAGAAGGTACCTTTTCTCTGCAAAACATTTTCCGCACTCCGGACAGGCAAAAGGGCGCTCGCCTGTGTGAGTCCTCTGGTGCGTGAGGAGGTGTACTTTCTGAGTAAAGCTTTTTCCACACAACGAACAGGAAAAAGGACGCTCGCTTGTGTGACTTCTCTGGTGTGTAAGAAGATATCCCTTCCGCGTGAAACACTTGTCACACTCGGAGCATGCAAAAGGACGCTCGCCTGTGTGATTTCGCTGGTGGACAACCAGATAACCTTTCTCAGTAAAACTTTTCCCACACTCTGAACAGGAAAAGGGACGCTCGCCTTTGTGACTTCTCTGATGTCTAAGAAGGTTCACTTCCTGAGTAAAGCTTCTCCCACATTCTGGGCACGAGAAAGGACGCTCGCCCGTGTGGCTCCTCTGATGGGTAAGTAGGCGTCCATTTGAAGTGAAACACTTCCCGCACTCTGAACAAGAAAAGGGCATTTCACCGGTGTGCCTTTTCAGATGGGTAATGAGGTTTCCCTTTTGCGAAAAACATTTACCACAATGGGGACACGAGAACGGCTTCTCGCCGGTGTGGACTCTCTGGTGCTTGACCAGATCCGATATCGTCGTGAAGGACAAGTTGCACTCGGAGCACGGAAAGGGTTTTAGCCCGGTGTGGACTTTCTGGTGTTTAACGAGATGCGATTTGGTGGCGAAGAATTTCCCGCACTCGTCGCAGGGGAAGGGCTTCTCTCCGCTGTGAGATCTCTGGTGCGCCACGAACTGGGACTTCTCCATAAATGACTTCTTGCACTGGGGACACGAGAACGGCTTCTCCCTGGTGTGATACTTCTGGTGTTTCTTGAGCTGCGACTTTGCCGTGAAGGATTTATCGCACTCCGTGCACGAGAAGATCTCCTCGCCGGTGTGAGTCCTCTGATGTACACGCAGCTCGCATTTTGTCTTCAAAGATTTCCCGCACTCCGAGCAGCGATAGGGCCACCCGGCGGCAGGTTGTCCTTGTTGAATAGACAACTGGGATCTGTATGTGGGACCGTTCTCCGCTTCTGAACATAGAAATGGACCTTCATGCTTATGCGTCCTCTGATGTGAAACAAGATGCGACTTCTTACTGAAACCTTGATCACATTCAGAACATGGAAATGGATCGTTATCTCGTGTTGTATCCGAATTATCGGAGGAAGAGTCCTCAGGATTAGATGGTTCTGGTGACCGATCCACACTGTGGTCTCTCAGGTGAATACTTGGGTTCATACCATGTGATGGTTCCGGAGATTCATCAGGAGTAGACAAATCCATGGATGTGTCTGCACTATAATGTCTGTGATTACCAGAGCTTACTCCGGGAGACAAGTGTGACCGGCTATCTTCTTCCAGTTTATGGTCAGGAGATACCTTTGAGGACCTCAGAAGATCAAGTCCATCTGTAGGAAAGAACATTTATGTCAATATTGAAGCAACTTCATTGTTTATGTTTTACAGGTACGCGTCATGGATGTTGGTCTAGTATCAGATGGTGTACAGTATCTCCTCATTTGTTGGGAACATGACGTTATATTGAGGAATGGAGATGGACCTTCATATGGTGTACAGTATCTCCTCCTCATTTGTTGGTCACATTACGTTATATTGAGGAATGGAGATGGACCTTCATATGGTGTACAGTATCTCCTCCTCATTTGTTGGTCACATGATGTTATATTGAGGAATGGAGATGGACCTTCATATGGTGTACAGTATCTCCTCCTCATTTGTTGGTCACATGATGTTATATTGACATGGTTTGTTAATCCTTAATATTTCAATAAAGATGTTTGAAGAAAAAAACAAAACAATGATACATACCTGTTCTGATATTTAAGGAAGACTCCTCCTCTTTAACTGGTACCATCATTCCAGCCTCCCCTGTAGTCAACTGATCACCTCTCACATACGTTTCCTCTTCTTCCTCTTTTATCTCAACTTTAATATCCATAATTTCTTCACCCTAAACCAACGAAATGGTACAAAGTACAACTTTCAAAATGTAGACATTATTAATCGAGACTACATCGAGGAATACATATTATATAATACACGTCTAAGCTCTAGATCCTTAACTTCACCTACCTGATCATGGTGAGCGATCTCCTGATGTTCCTGTGTGGAGTCCCGGGAATACAGAGGACGGGGACATCTCTCTGGTGGGTTCCTCTTACTGGATCCATCTGTAGGAAACACACACACTGACTGAATACATTGTTTCTATGTGTGTATCAGATGATGGGGGATGTAGGCGGACCCTCCGTACTGCTCTCTCCTCTTACCCGGTGATGTGAGGGGCGGCTCATTCTCCATCACGACGTCCTTGTAGAGATCCCGGTGTCCTTCTAGATACTCCCACTCCTCCATGGAGAAATAGACAGAGACATCCTGACACCTTATAGGAACCTGACACACACAATGATACAGTCACCACCCAGACACATCCCTTGTCTGTTCCTGGATCATGTCCCAGAATTCCCGGCACCGCTCACCTCTCCCGTCAGCAGCTCGATGATCATCTGGGTGACTTCTAACATCTTCTGCTCATGTTCATCTTTAGGATTTGATTGAGGCGGAAGTAGGATAGGAGGACTTTGGTGGTTGGACATTCTTGGTGACAAATTGTGATCTCTCCTCACTCCATTATTCTTCAAAGACATCTTCACTATCGTACAATCCTGTATAATACAGCAAATAATATCATAGGGTCTGACTATCTCATCCCTACTTTCATGTATGTGTTATACTGAACTCCCAGAATCCTCCTCACCTCTGCGGTCAGCAGGTAGATGACTTCCAGGGCAAGGTTTAGTATCATTTTATTTAGGTGACATTGCCTTTCTCCAGTGATCATATGACTCAAGGTCTTCTGATCCTCCATCATGACGTCCTTGTAGAGATCCCGGTGTCCTTCTAGATACTCCCACTCCTCCATGGAGAAATAGACAGAGACATCCTGACACCTTATAGGAACCTGACACACACAATGATACCGTCACCATCCAGACACATCCCTTGTCTGTTCCTGGACCATGTCCCAGAATTCCCGGCACCGCTCACCTCTCCTGTCAGGAGGTCAATCATCTTCTGGGTGACTTCTAGGATCTTCTTGCTGATACATCTGTCAGTTGTCAGGGGATGATGTGGAGGCACCAGAATGGAGGACGGTCCACGGGGAAAGATCACGGGTGTTCCTCCGTCACCAGAGGTCTTTCTCACTACTTTATAATCCTGAATAAAAAGAGACCATTACCAATTATCACCGCGCACATTCCCAAAATCTGGTCCTCATTATGGCGGCCATATGATCTAAAGATATCTCCAAACAAAGATCAAGAAGACCTTCTATGGTAATTATGAGACATCAACTAAAGGAGCATTATGGGGAGAGTGAAATACTCATCCCCATAATTAGAACTGACGTGCGACACAAGCTATCACGTGTCGGCTCTATCGGTCGGGAACTGAGAGATCACATACCGCCGATCACTCAGCTCCCGGACCTCCCAGAATCCTCCTCACCTCTACGGTCAGGTCTGTGTTTTATTACTAGAGATGTCATGTGACCTCCCAGAATCCTCCTCACCTCTCCGGTCAGGTCTGTGTGTTTTATTACTAGAGATAAGAGTGATGTCATGTGACCTCCCAGAATCCTCCTCACCTCTCCGGTCAGGTCTGTGTTTTATGACTAGAGATAAGAGTGATGTCATGTGACTTCCCAGAATCCTCCTCACCTCTCCGGTCAGCAGGTAGATGATCTCCAGGGTGAGATGTAATATCCTCTCCGTCAGGTGACTCCGGTCCTCATTCATCCTTATTGACGTGGTCATGTGATCTATAGAGGAGGATCCTCTCTCTAGACAGGGATTAAACAGACTTTGGTCATGTTACGTGGCCTACCACTTCCTGGCTGAGTTGCTGTTGTTCCCAGTTGCTTCCACTTTGTTATAATCCCAGTAACAGGTGACCGCGGAATATTTAGTAGCCAGGAAATGTCACGGATGGACTTATTGCACAGGTGACAACCTATCACGGTACCACGCTTGTAGTCACTGAGCTCCTGAGAGCGACCCGTTCTTTCACAAATGTTTGTAGAAGCGTCTGCATGCCGAGGTGCCTCATCCTATACACCGGGGGCCATGGAGGTGATTGGAACACCTGAATCACATGATTTGGAGGGGTGTCCCAATACTTTTGGCAATATTGTGTATATTATAATCCTCTATGTGTGTAGCAGCATCTGATGGAGATGAAATACATCACAGTGACTATGGAGGACGGACATGACGGGGGGGAGGGGTTACTGGGTGAAATATAAAATAATATCTTCTTACCTCCTCTGCTGCCAGTCCCAGCAATGTCTCCTCTCTACTTCCTCCCTGCTCACCTCTCACCCGGAACTTCCTGTCGGTTGGAACAATAGAGACTTCATGTCTGCATGTTTCATGCACCATTAGATTGCCACCTTGTGGGGAATGTAAGAACTGCAACCTGTTTTTTGTTTTTTTTTACATTTTGCCCACAGCCTCATGGTCCATTCTTCTATGGCGCAGACATCTCAACTCTTCCGGAAGTTCCAGGAGTCTCCCGTTTTTATCTAGCGGCTCCCTGCCGCCCCCAAGTGAAACACAGTATCCCGGAGAGTAGGGATTAGTGAGGGGCTCGGGCGTGTTCGCAGCTCCACGTGCCGAGCCTGGCCGGAAAGCTGACAGCGCAAATCACAGGTACTGAGGCATGTTCCCCGGTCCGCAGCTGCAGAGATCGGGAAATGTCTCAGTAGCTGTGATTCGCTGCTCGGCCTTTTGGCTAAGATCAAGTGTAGTATCTGTTCTTATCAGTTTTCGGTGGGGAAAAGAACCGTCCTTGCGGGGGATGGTTACTTAGTACTCGCTGGAGTGAAAGAGCGTGTGGGGCGGCTTCCTGTGAGAGGGGAACCGCTCAGTACATGGCTTTCTGACTGAACGGATGCGAAGCTTGGTCAGGCTCGAGGGTTCGGGGGCGGCAGAAGCCCGTGGTGTTGTGCCCCCTGGGGGTGGCGTCCCAGGGGTGCGCAGAAAGTCACATGGGTATGGGACCCCACTTGACTCACTGTGCACTTGGTCACACACCACCTTGCTTTTTCTGCACAACGCCTCTTGGACAGGCCTTATGGCTAGTCCGGGGCAATATTTTTGCACTCCGGCCCCTAAGGCCTGTCAGCGTGGTGCACTGGCACTTTAGTATTATCTATTGCACTCTATGCACGATGCACGATTGATTTTTTGATTGAAACCCACAGAATGCGGAAGGTGCAGGTTCCTTCGGGGCCTATTCCTGATGTAGGGAGGAGGTTCTGTGCCTCTTACGGGGTTCTCTGCCTCCTCCCACCCAGGAAGTGGGTCTCTCTTCGGGAGAGCCCACTTGCCAAGTACTATTGCGGACCTGTTTCGGCCTTCGGGTTGGTGGACCATAGTATCTCAACCCCTGTCAGGAGCCTTGCGCCCCGGGGGGTCGGGAAAGTAGGTCCCTTCTTTCGAAGGACCTTGCACCCTTGTGCACGTTTTTGTGTGCTGTGATTTCACGGTTCACTTTTTTTGTTCACAGGGGGAAGTTTGTTTAGATGCACGTCCACGGGCTTCTAAGTAAAAAATTAATCTGTTCTTATCAGTTGTCGGGAAAGAACGGCTGCCGTCACCTAAGGAGAGGGGTAGATGGCAGCTCAGTATTTCCTGGCGTAATTGGTGGGGGACTGGATGAGGTTCCAGGCCATCGAAGCTTTCGAGCCTTGTGATGGGTGGGCTCCGGCGGAGGGATCTCTGAAGGCGCCCTGCCTCCTGAGAGGAACGGATGCGAAGCTTGGTCGAGGGTTCGGGGGCGGCAGAAGCC